AGGAAGCAAGCCTCATGTTCGCTTCCAGCTGCCTGGCTGCCGGCCGCCATCTTGGCTGACAGTTAATTTGCATAAGGATATGCTGATTAGCCAATGGGAAGGGTAGCGGTCGTACGCCAATTACCATGTTTCTCTTTTATTAGTGTAGATAATAAAAGCATAATATGCTAATTAGATCAGACAGCCAAACGACCTTCTGGATGTCCTTTCAGACAATCTTCTGGATGAAGCCAGGGCTGCAAGGGCCAAGGCAAGCTGCCACGGCTGCGAGGGCAGAGCCCCTTGCACGAATTTCATGCATTGGGCCTCTAGTTCAGCTATAAAAGGAAATGAGCTATGAAGCCATGAGAAGACATGGAGGGGCCTTACATGTGTATTGCTAAGTGAAAGAAGCCTGTCTGAAAAGGCTATGTACTGCGTGATCGTAAATATATGACATTATGGAAAAGGCAATACTGTGCAGACTGTAAAAAAAAATTAAAAAAATCAGTGGTTGCCAAGGGGTCAGAAGGAAGTGGGTGGCATGACTAGATGGAGCAGTGATTTTTAGGGCAGTGAAACTATTCTCTGTAACATGGTAATGGTGAATTCATGTCATTATACTTATGTCAAAGCCCATAGAATGTACAGCACAAACAGTGAACACTAATGCAAACTATGGGCTTCAGTTAATAATAATATATCGATATTGGTTCCCTGTATCACATATGCAAGATATTAATAACAGGGGAAACTATGTGGGGAGAGAATACATGAACTCTCTGTTCTTTGCCCCCATTTTTCTGTAAATCTAAAACTGCTCTTAAAAAATAGCCCATTAAATTTTTAAAAAGTGTGACTGATTCACTAACCCATAGTTATGCACATCTTATGACTAAAGTTGAAAAAGGTTAATATTCTTAGCTAAGGACAATATAGGTTTTAAATAATTAAAAAGCAACTGCATAAAAGAGGACTATTTTTCTTTTTCTTTTTGCTTCGTTGTGATTATATTTCCCAGCAAGAACAGAAGAGCAAAAGAAAAGCCTTTAAAATGCATGGGTGGTGCTGGTGCTGGTGGTGGTGAGTGGGACAGAACCAGGCGTTCTGGTTTTCATATTTGGGAAAATGTCCTGGGTGTCCAGACAGCAGTGCTCTGCTGAGGTCACCACAGACTCTCGTTGCTAAAGGGCAGACAGCCCCCACCCTGTGGATGAGCACCCGTCCGCCTGAAGGCAGGGCAGAGACCGGTGGTTCTCAACTGGGACACACCACACCCCAGGGGACACGTGGAAATGGGTGGGAAAGGGGTTCTGGTGGTCAGCAGGACTGGAGGGCTCTACTGGTTAAATGTCCTGAAATACATGGACACAATGATGAATTTCCTCGTCTCAAATGCCAATGACACCTTGAAAAAAATTCTCCCAATGTTTCACCATGCTCCAGGTAGCAGCATGCCACGGGAGGCAGGCTGGAGGTGTGTGTGATTCGATAGAAAGATCTCCGAGAGAAAGATTAAATTGTTACACAAACCTAGATCGGGCTGAAGACCGCTGGTGTTCTCGTCAATGGTTAGGTTGGTGTAGAGCGGGGCCGACTCAGAGCCCGACCGGTTGCAGGGCACGGCGTAGAGGTCGAAGAGATCCTTCAGGTCCTTGCGGCTCCTTACACTGGGTGAGGAATGAAAACGCCTTGCATGTAGCACTGCTGCTAGAATGTGGGGTTGACAAAGGGTCAGAAGAAAGCGTGCCATACCTGAAGGATTTGAACAGCTCCACAAATTCAACGAAACTCATGTTGCTGTCGGAAACCATGAAGCTCTGGAAGCCTTTCATTCCTCCTTTGATGCGGCCGTGCCAGCTGCTGCTGCTCCAGGCACTGCAAGAAAAACATGGCCTTAACCAGCAGGACGGGCCCTGGTCTGCCCTTCTGCCCCAACGGATGCTCTCGAGTTAAGCAATATGCCCAAAAAGATGGACTGCAAGTCATTTGAGGTGGAGGCTATTTTCATTCCTCTCAAAATTAATCCGTATTATGTCAGAGGAGGTCAAACATATTGGACATTGAAACGGCTTCATGTTTACAGACTATTTAATAAGGACATAAGACTGAGGTTAATATGCTTCCACTAATTAAAACAGTTCTTTTAAATCACAGGCCAGTGGGGGTGGGGGGTGGGGAGGGAGGAATGTAAATGTGTCTTTGAAGTAAAGTCTTTTTAAAAAAAAGAGCCCCAAACTACTGGATTATAACCTATGGAAAATTATGCATGTTTCCCCCCTATATTCTGAATTACAGAAACCCATTTAGGAAGAATGTCTTGAATGTCTTAATATCTTCTTTTTGTCCTTTTTAAACCAGTTCTTAGATGAATTCAGGGAAGGACTTTTAATGCTAATGGAAAATGTGAGTCAGAAAAATATTAAGAATGGAAAGAAGCCAACTCTGTCTAGGATTATATTTGCACCTGCCAAAGCTGTATCTATTCAGTATAAAAATATCAGTCAACTAGATCAAAACTTCAGTCTGGCTGTTTCACAACATTTTTTTTTTTAAACGTTCTATACTGGTTCCCTGACGGGATAGTATGAGAAATGTTTTGACTGGTTGTTAACCAAATCAATGAACAAGATCTTTCTTTTTCTTTCATTTTTGTCTTTTATTTTTCACTTTAGAAATATTTCAACTTATATAAGAAAGTATAGAGACAATTGTAATAAATAGACTGTTTACCCTTAATCCTGCTAACAATGGAAAATGATTCTATGCTGACGTCTGAAGGTTAAAGGAAGAGTATTACAAAAGGCTAGGTTTGTATTATTTTGAGGGAAAAGGTTGTTGATAGTCCACGTGTGTGGGAAATAGAGGGTGGAGGTTCAGGTAGAGGAAGATCCCATAAAGTGGTTTATCACTTGCTTTAAGCAGGAAAGTCTCTGTCTTCCTTCTAGTTCCAGGTCTAGCCACTGTCTGAGGGCAGCCCCTGACTTCAGGAAGCTCCATGTGTCTACTCTTTCCCTTTCTGGGCTCAGTTTTGGTTCTCCCCTTGAACAGTATTCAGGCTGATTTTTCTTCTGCCTTGTCTCTTCCTTCTGTTTTAGAACACTTGGTGGGCTGTGGTGCCGGTCCATCTGTGATCTTGCATCTGATATGTTAGTTTCTCTACTTCTACCTCTTTAAAAATATTTTCCTCTCTTATTCTGCCCTTCCTTTCCCTGCTCATGAGTGACTGAAATAAAGGGAAGGGCTATTTACTCCGTTACTTGGCTATTTTGTTCATCAAGGATGCTGTATAGGCTGAAATATAATGTAGAGAATTCTGATTCTTTGTAGCTTTTAAATGTGTTACACACCTAAACTTATGGAAAAGTTGTAAGAGTGACACAAAGAATTCCCACGTACCCTTGGCCCAGTTTCACCAAGTATAGAAATCTGAATGCATAAAGCTTATATTGTGTTCATTATTCACACTGTGAAAGAATGCTTCCCTTTAAAAAATGATTTACTGTAGTGTGTGTGTGTGTTGGACTGCTCTAGGTACCTCACAGACCCATTTCCTCCTCCCACTCTCCTCTCGGATAAAGCAAAGTTTCTATTTTATCTTGGTTCTGTCTGAAATCTCTGCATTCCTTAAACTTTAGTGTGAGGTTGAGGGTGATGGTGTGGCTTTCTGATTCCTTTGGAAGGCTTTCATTTTAATATTATTTCTTCTGAGAGGGTAGATATTATTTCAAATCTGTAATTTGCATGGACCTTATAAAATAATTGACTATAACACCAGCTTTGAAATGATCTAAACGTATCCGACTTGCTGTAATACATTCATTTCTCTAGACATGTAGCGCTTATTATATATAAGAAGAGTATTAAATATATTTCACCCGTTAGCAAAGGGTCAAGCAGCTTACTTTAAAACTTAATTTATTCTTCATTTAGAGCAGTGCCATCCACTAGAACTCTCTGCAGTGATACAAAGATTCCGTATCTGCACGGTTCAGTCTAGTTGCCACCAACCACTTGCAGCTCTGAGGCACTCTGAATGTGGTTAGTGTGACTGAGAAATGAAACTTTTATTTTTTTTTATTGTATTTAGAATTTTAAATTTTATTTAATTTTAATTAATTTAAATAGCTTTTCCCTCTCCCCCCACCCCGGGCTAGTGGCTACTATATTGGACAGTGCTAATTTGGAGAATTACAGCTCAGATTTTGTTACTGCTATTGCCCTTTGAGGGGCTGATGTGTCAAATAATTAGGAGCGATTATAGCATTATGAGAAGATAGGGCTATAAAATCAGGAAAATTAGGAGCATGTAAAAACTCGGGGTCTTTCCGTTCTCAATATCATTGCTAAGTCAAAACTAGAGACAGTTTTTCCACAGAGCACTGGAGGAAGATGCCCTGCTACACAGCCTGACTGCCGTGAGGGTCCTGCTGTTTTATCATGTTAAGGCCCCACCTGGACGGGCTCTTGTTTGAAGACAGCACAGGGGAGGACACTGGCCTGATGGGAGATGACGTCCCGGCAGCCAAGATGGGGGACCCAGCCGTGGTCAGAGAGTGGGCTCTTCTGGAAGGGAGAGGGTTAGGCGGGCTTGTGATGGCATTCGCCTCTGTGAGCGGGAGAGACAAAAGAGACAATGACCCCCTTTCCCTCAGAATCAAAGACAACAAACATGCTTCTGGATGTCTGAGCAAATCATACTCTATGCAGGCAATTTCTACACAAGGAGCATCAAAATATTCGGATGAATGAACTCATCTATCTGGAGGGTTCTCAACCCTGGTACAGATGAGAATCATCTGGGGAAGCTTAAAAAGTATGCAGCTGTTCAGGTCCCAGGCACAGCGTCTGAATCAGTGGCCGGAGCGTGGACAGGGCATCAAGATACTTACTTACTTACTTATTTATTTATTTATTTATTATTATTGATTCTTCCAGAGAGGAAGGGAGAGGGAGAGAGAGATAGAAACATCAATGATGAAAGAGAATCATCGATCGGCTGTCTCCTGCACGCCCCTTACTAGGGATAGAGTCTGAAACCCGGGCATGTGCCCTGACCAGGAATCGAAACCCGTGACGCTCAACCACTGAGCCACACCCGGCTAGACCAGATATATTTTTTAAAAGCTCTATTTTCCAGCTGGGGTTGAGAATCACTGGTCTAGCCCATCAAATTGTATCCTGTATGGCTAATACTCCCTATCAATAATGGCAGGGTAAGTGATGAGAATTTTCTTCCAAGTACACAGTGCTTGCAGAAATACCTCTAGGGTTCCATCTTCTAGTTAAAACAAAGGTAAGTACATTTCACAAGATAAAGAGTTCTGCTAAGAATGTCCACCACACTTAAATTGCCATTTAAAACCAATGTGTATTTTTCTCATACAAAAATGTCAGCTGGGACTGTGCTGCTTTACCTGACTCCTCTTGCTCGTTAATGTCCTGAGGATCAGAGCCACTCCAGCTTCGACATTCTTTGTGCAGTTTGGCCTTTCGGGTGGCCATCTCATCGTCGGTGGCCTCTCCACTCTCACCCTGGGAACACAAAACGCTGTGGTTCCCCTTCTGTGTTTCTCTTCCATCACTGCTTTAGTCTGGGCAGGTCCCTATTTTCTGAGGGACCCACCTTCAAGGCTGCTTCCCCCCTGGGAAGCCAGTAAAGACCCACGTGAAGGCTGACCAAGTATTCACATGGAATATTATCCCATTTGTCTTTCACTATACAGCAGCACTCCTCAGGGAAGGGGGCCCATAAAAGGAGGCACATGATCCCTGGAATCTCCACGTAGAGACAGAATCATAAAGCAGATAAAGTTCCACTTAGGCAGCAATAGCCTCCTATCTGCAACCCTGGGGAAAATATATCATCATGTTATAGTGATAATGTATATAATGAAATATGTAATAAATAATAATAAATATATTGTGATAAAAAGCATAACATAAAATTCACCACCTTACCCATTTTAAGTGTGGGAACTATATGTGCCTTGTTGTGCAACAATCCCTAGAACTTTCTCACCTTGTAAAACTGAAACTCTATATCCATTAAACAACTCCCCTTTCCTCTCAGCTCCTGGCCACCACCATTCTACTTTCATGTTTCTAAGAGCTGGACCATCCTTGGTACCTCATGTAAGTGGCACCACACACTATTCATCCTTTCGTGACTGGCTTTTTTCACTTAGGGTAATGTCCTCAAGGTGCACCCATGTTGTAGCATAGGAAGTAATTTTCTTCCTTTTTCAAAGTTGAATTATATTTCATTGTATGCCTACATCACCTTTTCTTCATCCTCATTTGTGGATGAACATTTAGGTTGCTTCTCATAACACATTTAGCAGGTCCTCTGAGATCTTCATAATCTGATCCCCGTTCCTTCCTCGCCCTTCCTCGCCCAGCACAGAGCCCCTGCTCCAGGTTGGAGCATAAACTCAGAACTACATGTGCTTCCATGAACAAGCCACATCTTTCATGCCTCTCTGTTGCCTCATCTGCCTGGGATGCTTTTCCCTGTGTTGTCTGTTTGGTAAACTCCTATACAACCTTCAAGACCCATATGTCAATTGCTCTGTGAAGTCTTTCCTGCCTGCCTCTCAGCCCTATATCCTCCTTCTCTCCGCTCCTAAAGCACTTTGCAGACGGCTTAACAATGACTAATTTAGATCTCACTGTGTTTGTTAACACATCTGTGTCCATCTATGGACCCTGACTTTTTCCTGGTGTTGTTGACTCAGTTCCTAGCACTGGGTGTGGCCCCCAGGAGGTGCTGGGTAGACCCTTGTACTTCATTTATTTGATGCCTTATGTTGTCCCCAATCCAAATAGCCTAAGATCATTTATGGTGATATAGACCATGCAATGGTCCCAGATGATTGGGTCTGATGTTCAATAAACAAGTAACACTCTACCCTCATAAGGATTTTCTTCTTCTTCTTGGCAGTACCGATGCCCAGGGTGTTGTTCCTCTGCATGTTGGGCTTCTCGGCACTCTTTGCTGATGTCCCAGGGCTGGGGTTTCGAGTACTCCATCGTCTGCCACCAAACAACTCCACAGCGTGAGCCAAAGTTGGGCCTTCATACCGTCCATCCTCCTGTAGAAGAACCATATGCTGAACATAGACGGGAACAGCAAGCAATGGGGAAGTAAATACATGCATGGCTTCCAGGAAATTCCCAGGGATGGAGGAGCATAGGCAGCCACTGAGGAATAACAATCTGGCCACCCAAGTGGCTCTATTTTCTAATCCTCAGGACTCTGTGGGGGATTTCATCACATCCGCTGCAGTCCTGGTCACCTCCCTGCTGAGTTCCAGTGACATGCTTTAATAGGGCCATGTTCAACTGGTATTAACAAAAATAATTTCCCTTCCCATTTTCCAAGGTTATATACAGAATTACCACTGCAAAAAAATTCATTAATATATATTTTGCAAATTAGGACTTTGGAGGACTTAGGTGTGTGTGAAATCTATTTAAGTAAAATCAATCCTTATTTTTTATTGTTTTACTCTAGGTATTTTCACATAGTTTGATGCTTGGGACAGTCTAATTTAAAGATAGGGTATGTGGCATACCTAAAATTCACTCTGGAGGGTTCTGAGGAACACCTCAAGAGTTGGGCTGCCATCCTCCCAAGTGACTAATATCCGAGAATAGAGCGCCCAGGAACTCAGAACACCAGGCATATTATAATGCTGTGAGCAGCAAAAACACACTCGAAGGGCAGGCAGTGACCTACAGTAGCTGCTTCTCCTAAGGCAATGCCATATAACATGCAGTGAGCAGCAATAATTTATTTATTGAATTAAATATTAATAGTTCAATTGATAATGGTAAAAAAATTCTCCCTATAAGTTAGGAAACCCAGTTAATAAAACTACAAAAAGTTGCATATGAATTAAAGATATTGATAGCTCACAGGTTGCATAAAAGGGCTCTTTTAAAAATACTTTCCATTTACTACCTTTATTTTCTGCAAATGTTTAAGGCTAGTCCTCCTTTGTAGTTCCAAAGAAGTGGCTGTAAATGGATTTTGCTTTGTAAATAATAAAGAGGCCGCGCGCGTGCGTGTGTGTGTGTGTGTGTGCGCTCCTGCTCCTTCTTCCTAATGTTCAATGACTGTCTGATTTTATGACTTGAGTTGTGACCTATCACTTCCTGCATCCTGTTCAGGATCCCAGGATGCTGAGCAAATTAGGTACTTGATGTGGGAAACTTTTGGTGCTCTCTTGTAGTGGATATCTGTGATTTATACCCGTCCATTAATCATTTCTCTTTTCTCTAACCATACCCCAATTTTACTTTATCCCTTATCCCCTGGATATAGTCAGGGGTTTAACATCCCTTGACCAATGGTTGACACAGGATCCAAAGAAACCCATCAGAACTTCCCTCCCTGGAAGAAGAATCTTGAATGCAGTGATGCGAAAATAAAAATGGCTGGAGATCATTCCACCTGGTGTAGGCTTGCTGAAGAAAGTCCTGGCTAACAGGTCCCTACAATTGGCTCCAAAGTAGCCAATGACCCAATTTCATAAATAGGTTTTATCTACCTTACTGAATAGCATACTCTACATACAAAAGAAATTTTGTAAAAATTTTATCTATGGGTCTTAACTAATACATTTTCTAAAATTTAATAACTCCATTAAAATTTAAAACTCTGCAAAAGATACTATTAAGACAATTAGAAGACAAGCCACCGAATGGGAGAAAATATTTGCAAAAGAAACATCTGATAAAGGACTGTAATCCAAAATATACAAAGAAATCTTAACATTCAACAAGAAGAAGGCAATCAACCTGATTTAAAAAACGGGCCAAAGACCGTAACAGATACTTCAGCAAAGAAGACATACAGATGGCAAGTAAACATACCCAGAGTGAACACTAAGGTAAACTGTGGACTTTGGGTGATTATGATGTGTCAATGTAGGCTCATCCTTTGTAAGAAAATGTACCATTTTGGTGCCTGATGCTGACTGTAGGGGAGCCTATGCATGCATGCTGGCGGGAGGTTCATGGAAAATCAATGTACCATTCTCTCAATTTTATTGTAAAACCAAAACTGCTCTAAAAAGGAAGTCTCTAATGAGAAATGTAATAGACCCAATTAGCTCCTATGTATAAATGAGTTGCCTCTACTGCTTTGGCTTCTCTAAATCAGAACATCCCAACATGGGCCAGACTTTAGTCTTAACGAAAATATCTTAGGCCTGAAAAAGGCAGGATTCCTTTGTTTAATCTTTAAAGGAGATGTTCTGGAATCTGAAATGTGGTTAGAATCTTTCTTTCATTTTATACAAAACAATAACCTTGTTTGGGATGGGTGAAGGATACACCTTCTATTTTTAATTTGGGAGGACTACTGTGATGAAAGTACATTCTCAGTTTTAGAAAAAAGTTCTTGTGGAAGTTGAGGATCAGGAAATCGATTCCTTAAAAGATATTCATGCCCTAACTGGTTTGGCTCAGTGGATAGAGCATCAGCTTGTGGACTGAAAGGTCCCAGGTTCAATTCCGGTCAAGGGCATGTACCTTGGTTGCGGGCACATCCCCAGTAGGAGGTGTGCAGGAGGCAGCTGATCGATGTTTCTCTCTCATCAATGTTTCTAACTCTCTATCCTTCTCCCTTTCTCTCTGTAAAAAATCAATAAAATATATTTAAAAAAAGATATTCATGCACTTTTACCTCTTAGCATATCTTTGCACATGATATATTGAAGACAGTTAAACTAATCTAATCCTTTGAATAAATCCTTATTTTTCTTGAAGATAGCCAGATTTGTTTCTGTTGCTTACTACCAAAGAAGTCTGTCTACCTGGTAATCCTATACTTAACCTTCTCAGCTTCCCAGAGATCTTTCCAAATACCCAGGATTATGGGTTCTTACCTCTGCCCATGATAATCTTGAGCCAAAGTTTTTGATACTAGTTTTTCCTCTACACTTCACATCAAATCTCTGTATGGTTTACTTTCTTTTACTTTCCTGTATTCCTAGGCTTCATTACAAATGTCACTATTTCTTCTGGACTTTTGTTTTATCTCCTGCTACTATTTCCATTAGATCAATTTACTAAAATTAAAATACTTTTATTTGAAGGTAACGTCGCATGCATTCATCACACAAGGGGACTCGAATGTTAGAAATATTATTTTCCATACAAGCTCTTCCCAAATTAGAGATAAAGAAATACTCTTGCAGGGCCCTTAAAAGAAGTTTGGAAGAACTCAAGACTTTTTTAAAAATAAATTTCTTTAACTTAAATATACATTTAAATAGGTTTCTTTTGTACTTGGGAATCCTCCGAGCCTTAAATGTGCTAAGCCTTATTATAAGTCACCCAGAGGGGCATTTGCATGCTGCCTATTTGACCTTTTGTTCTCCGAGTACCAAATTAGCATCATTTTGATGTTCCCTAAGATAGTCTGAGAACAAGTCTGTATGATAGGAAAATCGTCAGTTTGTTGACCAAGAAATCTCTAGTGTTTATTTCTAAGACATGTTGCCTGCCTTCCTAGGCAGTTCACGTAGAACAACGTTTTGAGGAAGAAAATCACCTGTTTTCAGAAGAGACTGAGATATATGGAGTTGTTTTGCCTTTACACTGTAACCACTTGGTTCCATGCAGGGAGGAGGGACCAGGGTTTGGTGGGGAAGGGAGAGGTGCAGCCGGGTTTGCCTTTGCCGCTGATAGGACTGTCTGCTCCAGGTCACTTCCTGTGTCTTTGCTCTAGCAGCACCTCTTCCTTCTTCTCATAAGCTGTTCATGGTCTGAGCTGGTGCCTCTTTCAGTAAAAACTGAGAAACCAAGTACACTTTATGGGTTAATTCAGCTACTTTATGCTCTAAGCTTGGGAAGGAAACAAATGGAGCCAATAAATCACATAGGCTTTGTGCCTGTGGTTGTAATTGAGCTCAAAGACTTTGGATAATTTATGGCCAGGTTGACTGGATTTCCATGATTCTATAAGGCTGCGGAATGATTTTAAGTAAAAATCAATATTCATAATCGCTCCTAAAGACCCTTCCTCCAAGCAGCTGACAGCATTGAAAGCTCCCTGTGGAGTAGATAGGAAGCAGGTATTCTGGTTCCCACTTTAGATGAATTAACTAAAACTGGCTTTGTGCTGTGCAGCATTAGCATACCCGTGTATGTAGGCCTATGTGCTTATTAATTAATTAATCAAGGTACTTATTCAGGACATGATCTCTCTTCAGAGGTATTGCATGGGCACGAAGAAGCGGGAAAGCAGGAGAATTATATGCACCTCTCTTTACATCCCGCAGGGGAAATGTGTCTACTTGTCAGAAACATGTTAGAACTGTGGAAAGTACGTGAAATCAGTCGTTTTAGTACTTTAAGTCATAGTTCTATTTGTTCTGTGACACTAGTAAAAAAGTTAAGTCCCCCCCTTCTCCCAGAGATAGAAAAACATAAAAAAGAGAAACCGATTGCTTTGATACAGCTCGTTTGACAATGCTATCTACAGTGTCGCCTTGTAGCGGGGCCTGTGACTGTTTCCAGTCTCTGCCCAGCTTTCTCCACAAGCACGGTGTCTCTTCTCACCACCGCCTTCAGCCCAGTCCCACTGTCAGTCCTGAACACAGTGGGGGGTGTGACCGTACCTGATAATTTAGGGTTAATGAGAGACTCAGGTTCAGCAGCCGACTGTGAGGAACTACCTCCCAAAGCTGCTTCCACTGCGAACCTTGTTGGGAGGAACTCCACGTGAGTTATCCCACACTTGGGAAAGTTTCTGTTGACCTTAGAAGTTCTATAGTTAGAAATACAGTCAGTTAAATAACTTCCCAAGAGTCACGTAGCATATTAGGTGGTGGAGCAGGATTTGTATTCCCAAAGCGAAGGTTTCCAATGTATCAGTCCCTAATTAATAACAAAAGTGTTCAGATCACAATGCTTTCAATGGAAACTTTAAGGGAAAATGCTTTTACATTAACTGGTTTCTTTCCAGATGTGAGAGGTACAATGACCACAGTCACTATTTTCATACCAAATAATAATAGGACTTACTATGAGCCAATATCCTTTATATATATGAATTTACATTATGCCTTTACACATATTAACTCAATGAAACCTTAGAGCCACCGTATGAATAGGTATTGCTGTTATTCTCATTTTATAGATAAAGACTGAGCACAGAGAGGCTAAGTAAAAGCTGCCCACTAACACTCAGGTAGGAAGTGACTGAGCTGGGAGAATGAGCCCTGGTGGTCTAGTTGCCAAGATTTATACCTGGAGAATGATGCTATTGAGGAGAGAGGGAAGGTCACACCCCTTACCTGATAGAGGCTGACGTACTGTTTCCGCAGCCACTGCTGTCTTTGGTCAGGGAACTTCCTCATCTTTCTCACAGCTTTAGTGAGTTCCAACAATCCACTGAAGAGCATTTTAGCTGTGTGCTTTGGTGCCACAAAGTGCAGTAATCTATTGTCCGTGGTCTGAAGTCCATAGAGCAGTGTCACACCAGTCTCCGAGAGAAACATGCTACTCAGTTTGTTCTGAACACACACAGTGTGTATATCAATGCTAGGATGCCCCATGTACACAGCCTTTATGGAAAACAGATCCAAGACCCCCTCCGCCAGGCCACTTAATCCAGCATTGCCCAGTAACGGGAATTTGCCAGGCTCGGACGTGGCAGTAGGCATACCAAGTTTTGCTTTTGCACTGGCTGGGGAGGCCGTGGTGGGCTTTATCCAGGTCAAGGTGCTATTGTCAGGCTGAAGCTGGAGGAAGCAGCGGGCAGAGAGGTGCGTGTCCTGGTCATAGTGGATGACCGTGGCCCCCTGCAGCAGGAACTGGTGCACGTCAGCTCGGATGGACAGCACGTACCATGGGATGAGCTCTATCCCGTGGTCAAAGGCCTTCTGTGGCTCTTCTAATCCATGAGGGTCCCATTCTTTGGCTTGCTCAAAGATGTCATTTTCTGTATCCAGCAAATCTCCAATTACAAACCTGATGGAAAGAGATACATATTTGGCCTGTCTTATAAGCAGAAGTGAGAACAACACAAAGCCTTTCACTGACACTGGACAGCATTTTTTATTCCACTATGAATTCAAATTAGCATAGAAAACATAAAATGCTAAAAGTCACAGTAATTTTGTATAGCTATCTTTGTATTCTAAAACCTTATATATAGTGATATTATAAACACAGGGATAAGGAAAGAAATTACTAGATTAGTTATGTATTTTAATGTCAACAGCAATCATCATTATGTATTCATTTTCCCCCTTGTGTCAGGAACTGTGTTAAATATTCTTACATACATTTTTCACTTGACCCTACTTTCGAAGTAAGGTTTCTTGCTATTTTTTTTTAAAAATCCTACGAAGACACCTGAGGTTCAGAAGGGGTGGGTAACTCGCTCCAGGTTACCAAGCTCAGAAGAGGCCTACCCGAGGCAGGATTCTGGTCTGTCTGACTCTTTAGCCTGGAACCTTCATCACTAGGTTCTTTTGCCTAAAACTTGATCATTAACAAGAGTCATGACCTGAATACAGCAGGGCTAACGTAGGCAAACCAAGACTTAATAAGCTGGCCTGAGAAGAGCCTCTGTTAAAAATCAAACACAATTAGTTCAAAGACACTCGTTGGGAAATAGAGTCATGGCGGCCAGAGGAGCAAAACAGGTCTCCCTGACACAACCTGAGATTCTCACTGGGTGTGTGTGCACACGCGCGTGCACACAAAGGACTTGTCTGCTTAGAAAAGTTAGCATGTTTCCTTCCCTGAGTGAGGAACCTGTGTTTTTAGAGCAAGAAAAACCTGAGGGTGGAGAGGGGGGAAGGCAAGGGAGATCACTGCCTCCTTTCTATCTGGTCGCCTGGGTAGGAACATGCCCAAGAGAGATTCATTCTCTTCAAAGCACGAGGGATTGTTAGTAAGAGCGAGGTTTCTGCTGTTTGACCCATACACATTACAAGCAAAGGGGTGAGTAAAACTGAGAAGGAGTAGGTCCACACATGTCTGGGAAGGAATGTTCCCATTGTCCTGAGGCACTTGGGCAGCCCACTGCCTCTTGGGGAAGCATGAGCAGCAGCAGCACTGGGCTTCTTGGACTCAGTCTAGATTCTGGTCCTCGAGCAAGATCCCAGTCCTGCTTCCAAATAGCAGGTCTTCCTCCTCGCCTCACATAGATAGATATCCTTAAAAAAAGGAAAGAAACCTATAGGAGATCTCACAAATCTGATGGTGAGAATATCCTTTCAGATTACCCACCCTGGAAACAACCCAAATGTCCAGCAATGATAAAATGGATAAATAAAATATGGTGTACTCATACAATGTAATTCTGCACAGCAATGAAAATAACACCCAACAGCTAACTATGTGCAACAACCTGGGCAAATTGTAAGCAAGACACACAAGAAATAATACTGCACTTATATACATGTAAATTTCTAAATCAGGAAAAAATGTAGAAATGCATAATAGTGGTAAAATTATAAAGAAAAGCAGGACGTATTATCATAAAATTGACAGCAGTGAATTTTTCTCTAGGGGGGTAATTAGTGACATAATTAAGAAGGGAAATAAGGGGTTTATGGGAGCTGGTAATGTTTCCACTCTGGGTGGTAGTTATGTACATATTTACTTGATAATTATTCAAATACATTAGTTTTTAAGGAAATGTTAAATTTTAGAATAGTTTTAGATATGTAGAGAAATTGCAAAGAGAGTATACCTCCGCATCCACTTTCCACTATTATTAACATCTTATATTAAGGATGGTATATTTGACACAATTCATAAACCAATACTGATACATTACTATTCACAACAGTCCATACTCTATTTAGATTTCCTTCATTTTTTACCCATGTCCTTTTTCTGTTCCAGGACTCCATCCAGGACACCACATTATATTTAGTTGTCCTATTTCTTTAGGCTCCTCTTAGACATGACGGTTTCTCAGCCTTTCCTTGTTTTTGATGATCTTGACAGTTTTGAGAAACACTGCTCAGGTATTTTGTAGAATGTCCCTCAATTAGAATTTGCCTGATATTTTTCTTATAAGTAGACTGGGGTCGAGGTTCTGGGCAGGAAGCCCACAGAGGGAGTGCCATTCTCATCACGTTATATCCAGGGAACAGATTGTCAACATGACTTACCCCGTTGACGCTGACCTGGGTGAGGGGGTGTTGGTCATGGGCTGTTTTTTATTTTAAAACTTCCTCTCTATACTGTCCTCTTTGGAAGGAAGTCACTAGGCGTAGCCCACGTGTAAGGAGTGAGGAGTTATGCTCTACCTCCTACAGGGCAGAGTATCTAATAAGTTATTTGGAATTATCCCTTCTTCCCCATTTGTTTATTTATCATTTATAGATATGGAACTCGTGCATATTTATTTAACACTTTAGTTTATAATCTAATGCTACTTTATTTTGCTCAAATTGGCCATTGGGAGCTTTTGCAGTTGGCTCGTGTACTTTTTTAAAAAACAGCCCATGACCAACACTCCTTCAGCCAGGTCAGCGTCCACGGGGGTAAGTCATGTTGACAGTCTGTTTTGTTGTTTTTCTAAGCACATCTCTACTTTCTGGCACAACAACATGTTCCTGGCTCATCTTGTGTATTTCCAGCCCCTGTCTTAGAATCAGCCACTTCTCTAAGGAGCTTTGCTTTCTTCTCTTGAAGAAAGTTATTAGAAATCGAGATCTGGTTGCTGTGTGCAAAAATACATTCTACTTTATGCACTTAATGTTCCATTTCCACATAAAAAGGTGAAGAAAGAAAGAAAGAAAAGTCCTTTGTAGACACTTAGTTCCATCCTTATGAAACTGCTCTCAGTACAATGGAAAACCAATACTTGTGTCCTCTTACATATACTATACTGATGCCCAGGCCCCCCACATATAGCATGTGATTAGGAACACGCCCTCTAGAATCACTCTACGTCTAATGGTCAGCTCCACCACCTATTTGCTGGGTGACCTAGTCAAATCACTCAACTTCTCTGAGCCTCACTTTACCTATCAGTTACTGGCAAAAAGACAATACCCATTTCACAGATAAATGATGAAGTTCAAATAAAATAATGCTCGTAAAGCACACAGCACAGCATCTGGCTCAGTGAAGTATACCACTATGATTAAGTATAGGAAGACGGAGGTTTCTTCCCTCCCACCTCTCCTTCCCCACTTCCGTTCCTGAGCCTAACCCGGCCCAGCTGTTCCTCTAGAGGGGCTTTCTTTAGACCACATCCAAGCCCTTTAATCTTTTTATTTCCTTTCTTTGGAACCATTTCCACATTCTCCATGTCATCATTTTTGTTTTTTGTTTTGTTTTGTTTTTAAAGTACAAAAAGGATTCAATTGGGAAGTGTTAGTACCCATGAAATACAACATATGTTAAGCTGGACTTAAAATTTCTGATTTTCATTTAGCAAGATAAATGGTGTTTCCCATATTTTGTTTAGTTTGAGTTCTGAACTAAATCAAGTATTTTCCAGCCAAAAAAACAAACACACACACAAAAAACAAAAACCCCTTCAAGCATTAATTATGAAGAATAGTGTCTGGAAAGGAAAACTCTAAGCTTTTCTTTTTTTTTTTTTTTTTTTCTTTATTGCTTAAAGCTTACAAAGGGCCCCTACCCCCCAGTGTCTTATGTCCATTGGTTATGCTCATATGCATGCATACAAGTCCTTCGGTTGATCTCTTACCCCCCTCCCTCCTGCCCCCCAACCCTCCCCGGCCTTCCCGCTGCAGTTTGACAATCTGTGTGAGGCAGCTCTGCCTCTGTATCTATTATTGTTCAAAAGATTATAATGGTCTCTATTATCCATGAATGAGTGAGATCTAAGTTTTTCTGGAGCCCATTTCTGCTGCTCAGAGATGGTGGGAGCTGGGAGAGGGTATAGACACCCTTTCTTGGAGTCAGTTCCTCCCTCCCTCCCTCCCTCGCTCCCTCCTTTCCTTCCTTCTTTTCACAAAAGAACGAATGCTCAGTGTTAATATTCCATTACAAAGCATTCTTCCAGGGACCAGCGCCCAGATAAAACTGACAATTGTCTGTAAAGAAATAAGTTCCTTTCGAGAAGGAACCTAGCAGCTTTGTCTCTTAGTGGATTTTATGCACTTCTGTACCAGACCCTCTCAGGAGACACGTTTCTGTGGGTTTACAAAAAGGAATAAGGTGGAACTTAAAGATTTATTTAGGAACCAAATAACATTAACTAAATGTCAAAGATGTGGTATACCGGTAAAGAAACTACCTTGTCAAATAAGTCATATGTCTTGAGAGGACAATGGAGTAAAAAGAGAAGGAAAGTTTGTATCCCACCCCCGAGGGCTTCTGTAGCAGCCTCCAGTTAGAAACCATAAATTGATGGATAAACACTTTTCTAATGTTCCCTGATGAAAATATCCTATTAGGGAACAAGTGTATTTTCTTAATAACCCTTCATGACTTCCTACAAAGTTAATATGATTACATGAACATACTTCATCAGGTGATAAGCCTAAATTAATTTTGTAAGATCAGAGAAAATGTGTACCTTTTCCAAAGGACTAACTATAGCTGCTCTCTAATAACATCCAGACTTTTAAGCTTGCTTCTGACAAGTTCTTGCTTTTAATTAACCTAGCACTTTCCTCAACAACCGGCAGCTTCTAAATCATATCTGGGTGGTGTGTGGACTTCGGAGCCCGTTACCCTGAGGTTACATCCTGGCCCTGCTGGGGGAGAGATCACGAGGAAAATGCAACTGCTGTGAGGATTAAATAATGTAACATATGTAAAATATTATGACAATGTTTCTTAAAAGTGGCTCTCCATAAATAATAGCATGTTAAATATTACTAATGTCATTATTGTCAGGATTGTATTTACAACGTCAGTATGAGGCTCTGGACCCAGAATGGATTCCCAAGTCCTGGAAACAGTGCCTGCTGGTCTGCTTTCAGTGACTTTATCTAACACCCCGCGCCCGCCTCGTGTGTCCAGCGCTTCATTTCAGAGTCGCAGTCACTTGGGGAAAAGAAACTGTTCCTGGTACTGAGACACAGAGGTTACAATGTGAGCATTTCAACATGGCTTCACAGGTTTTGTAAAAGAAATATTTACATTTTTGAGCTTTTCTCCCTCCTCCTAAGAGTGCTTAGAAGCAGGATCTGGAAAATGGGAAGCGGAAGAGAAATGTTCTTAGGATGTAGACGATAAAACCGTTAGGAAGAGAACAAGAGAATAAACAGAAGGCTGGAAATAAAAATGTCATGAGAGGTGACAGGATTAGGTAAGAAATTTATCACTTGAAGGAACCCCCAGCTAAAGGAAAAGATGGTGAAGGCGAAGGGAAAGCTCAGAGGCTTGGTCTCTGAGGCTCAACCAAAGGTAACACTCCTGAAGGTATTTTAGAAAGGTGGACACGTTTAATTAACACCCTACCCCCAAACAAGTAAAGGTTGTTATAAAAAAAGAGCCATACGAAATGTATTATTTTTTCTATTCAGGGATGATATTTCCCTTACAGTAGGATTTAAGGAATGAATTTTTGCCACATCTCAATATGAAGAAAAGGTTTTCCCAAACGTCTGTTTGATTTTTCTTACAAATATTGTGAAACTTGTGATAAATCATGACTCCATCTTCCCTCTGGCCATTATGAATCTCAGAACAAAATTAAGTCACTATAAAGAATGTAGAGCATACACTTTTGTATTATTTCTCCCTAACTTATTTTCCTTAATATCTTCAATTATTTATATTTATTCTCATAGGCATCTACAAATTTTTTTGTGGAAGGAGGTAGATATATACATAGATACCTACACAGGTTAATAGAGGTAGATAGAGGTTAAGACCTTAAATGGCTATGAGACGCTCCTTGGGTAGACATGTGCTTATTTGTAGGTGGTCCCCTGATACTGTATATGCTAACACATATATGATGCGCTATATATATATATTATATACATACACACACACATATATACACACATATACATATATACATACACACACACACACACACACACACACACACATATATATATGTATAATACTAATGTCAACACACTGTTAGTGAGAAAACTTTCAAGTAATCTTTGAACTGAGACAAACTTAAAAGAAAGCTACCTGTGAGACATTTGAGCTTTAGGGCTAGGACACTGGTGAGGGCACTAACAGTTCATCTCTGAGCACCTGAGTCCTCTGTGGAGGAATGAGCAAGGAAGTGAGGTCTGGAAGGAGGCCCGAAGAAATCTGGAATATAGGTTTACCTCCTTAAAACATGATAGCATTAGGGGTTCAGATACAAAGCATTCATTTCTGTGTTCACCACTGAGTCTAAGTATCCAGTACTCCAATTCCAAATAAATTATTTTCTGAAAACACTGTCACTCTTCCCATCGTAGGCTCACATACATACACAGACAACCGGGAAAGACTCTGCAAAATGAAAGCAATGGCTTACGAACACACACACACACACACACACACACACACACACACGTATAAGGACCCTAAGACAACGGCAAGGTCTGACTCATGAGTACTGATTACAATAAAACCTTTCGTGGCAAAGATGCCAACACCAGTAGACCTAACAGTTTTGGAGGTGCTGAAGGATTCATTCCTCCAGCTGGGCCAGGCTCTGCCATTTGAGATGGGCTTGACCGTGACTAAACGGCCTTGAAGAGAAGCAACGCATGCCCCCCTGGTTTCTGGTCTTCCATTTGGTTGTGGGTAAGCACATCTGGCTAGATTGCAATGCCTGCTGAAAAATAGCAATTGGGACAACTAAACAGTTGCAAAGCTGGGGTTGTCAATCTCACAGAGCTGTGTTTCTGAAAGCGAGATCCTTGACCACCTGACTTAGAATCACTCAAAGGTTGGGGGAAGCTGCTAAAAATACTATCTAGGTCTCACTCTACCCCTACTAAATCACTATATTTCATTTAAAAATGTTAATACTCACCACTCCTGTGTTCCACGCAGTGATTATTAAAAACTATTTACATAGCAACTATGAAATAAACAAATGGGACCATGGTTCTAATCCTGAAATTTAATTGGTTGAATTTTTAGAAATAGCAGGGTAACTCTAGTTTCCTTTAGAGCAGCGGTTCTCAACCTGTGGGTCGCGACCCCTTTGGCGGTCGAACGACCCTTTCACAGGGGTTGCCTAAGACCATCCTGCATATCAGATATTTACATTACGATCCATAACAGTAGCAACATTACAGTTATGAAGTAGCAATGAAAATAATTTTATGCTTGGATCACAACATGAGGAACTGTATTTAAAGGGCCAGAAGGTTGAGAACCACTGCTCTAGAGGGCTAACCGATGGCAAGAAATTAGATTATAAGCAGTAATTTTAGAACAAAGCAGCCAAATTAAAAAGAAAAATTCTTTGAACACGAGTGACGGGGCTGCTGGGGAGTCTCTGAGAAGCCATAACCTCCCCTTGGGACCTCCAGGCTGGGAGGGGAGGACAGAGCCCCCAGGAGCAAAGGGGGCCATCTGAGGCCAGGATGGAGACAGGAGGCTGAGCCAGGTAGGGGAATCTGGGCTGCAGACAGGACCAGGAAGGAACCGAGGACCAGGAAGTGCCAGGACCAGTGCCCGGAGGTCCCCTCTCCCATGTGCTGCCACCAGTCACCCCTCCCGTCCCTGAGCAGGGATCCGAGAATGTGCCAAGCATCCCGCTGGCCTGGGCCAGGTGGGCCTGTATATAGGGTCCGTGTGCAATAGGGAGGAATGTCTTCTATTTTTTGCTGCTCTCTCCCTGTCACTGTCTGGGGCAGGGGGAGAAGGTATTTTCGAGACATAGCACAGGCACCACAAATAAAAGTTGTGAAGTTGCAAAAAAAAAAAAAAAGAGCGGGCCGCCAGCCAAATGCAGCTCCTCCCTTCCCCCTAGCCAGCCCGCCCCTGATCAAACACCTCCCACCTCAATAGGGGGCAAGGCAGGGTGGCCAACCTCCTGCAGCCCCTCCCCCTGGCAAGCCATCCACCGGTGGGCCCCCACCACCCAGATTGGGCCGCAGCCCCTCCCCTCGGCTAGCCCCATTCCTGATCGCCACCCCACACACACCAATAGGGTGCGGGCCGCAATCGTCACCACGCACCCCATTCGGGGGCGTGGCCAGCCGGCCCACCACCCACAGCCCCTCCCCATGGCCAGCCTGCTCCCAATCGGCCCCCAACCCCAATGGGGGGGGTCCTACCGGCCAATCGCCTGTGGCCCTTTCCCCCAGCTGGCCGGCCTGATTGGGTCCTGATAGGGGTATGGCCAACCGGCCAACCTCCCGCCATCTCCTCCCCCAACAGGCCTAGCCCAGATCAGCCCTGATTGGGCCAGGCACTGGGCCTCTAGTATAGCAATAAAGATGTTTTAGAAAAAAAAAAAAAATTCTTGCCGAGCGTGTATGGCTCAGTGGTTTAGCGTTGACCTATGAACTAAGAGGTAACAGTCTGATTCCTAGTCAGGGCACATGCGTGGGTTGCAGGCTCGATCCCCAGTGTGGAGTGTGCAGGAGGCAGCCGATCAATGATTCTCTCTCACCACTGATATTTCTAACTCTCTCTCCTTTTCCCTTCCTCTCTGAAATCAATAAAAATATATTAAAAACATTCTAATTCAGAATTGGTAATGATGGGAGAGAAAGAAGCATTGCTTACTGATAAAGGTAGGTTTTCTTAGGCATCTACCTGAAACCAAACCGAAGTAGGAAGAAGGAGCAATGAGCACCCTCCTTCCCGTTAAAATGCAAACTCACTGGCAGCGAGCTTTGTCCTTCAGGGAGTTCTTCCGAGAGCCGCTCCCCTCACTGGGGCTGTCCTCGTCCTCCGCCTCCAGACTGCGGCTGCAGCTCCTGATGATCTGAAAGATGCTGTTGACGGTGGACTCTTTTTCCGAATTCTTCAAGCCATTTTGTCCCACGCGTTGTAAAAAATTATCTTGTCCACTGTAGTCGGCTACAAACTATGGAAAAATATACCAAGAGATGATTATTGCGATGTTATACAGTACATCTAAATAACCTACGTGACTAGAGAAATGAAATCATAATAGTCATAAATAATGGTATTTGTGCCTATTTTATTGGGAAAAAACAAGAACCTCCAGGAAACACATTTTTTCCCCTTTCACCACATGAACTATCAAAACTTACTCTTGTTTTCACTAAGACAACTTTAGTCCCTCTAGGAACTAACACTGCACTTGGGATTGAAAACACAAAAAGCAATATTATTCCAAGGTTCCCTAGAGAGATTAGCCACTTCACCGCAGAAGGGCAGGGAGAATTGAGAAAAACCATGAAAAAGTATACTGTACTCTGGAACCAGGTAAAATCACTGAGCAAGGTGGCGTTTGCTTTACTTCCCATGTGTCCTAAGGTGACACAGAGGCTTCCTGGGCATGTTTGCACTCTTGTCCTCTGTGTCTTGATGGGAAGTTTCTCCCACCCCCTGCTGCAGCGGGGCCTTGAGATGTGGTGTTCCCTCCTTCTGAAGCACGAGGGAGCTGGTGTGGGTGCGGCCGGGGGACTTGCTTTCAGGGTTCTCCTTCATTTCTTACACTTTCATTCCCCTTAAATAAGCCGAGAGATGGAGCCGGCTGAGTTGCCTGTACCCGTCAGGGGCTGTCTCCCTGATACCAGGAGACACCTTTGTGACCAGGTGACATAGAAGAGGCTGACGTTTTAGAAGAGTCTTCCCACTGCCACCGAGAGGGAGTGCGTGTGTGTGCGTGGATCTATGATTCTCTCTCATCATGGATGTTTTTCTCCCTCTCCCTCTCCCTCTCCCTCTCCCTCTCCCTTCCCTTCTGAAATCAATTAAAAAAAAAAAAAAGCTAACTTAACTATACTAAGCCCCAAACAGTGCCGGTTGGTGTTCTGTTCTCTGTGATCTGCACAGCAGTAACAACAGACCCCTGGGGTCACGGAGGCATCCCTCCTCACTGAAATGAGTGACAGCCAGGGACAGCAGTGAGGCTCCGGATCGCGAGGACTGCGAAAGGCCTCACCTCTAGAGTTTCCTCCTGGGAATTGTATCTGGGGCAGAGCTTCACGAGGCCGGAGGTGCCGTCCAGCACTTCGCAGAGCTCCTTCAGAAACACCCCGCAGAACGGGACCACCCTGCAGCCCGGGATGTGCAGGGCCCGCGTCACCACCTTCCTGTACTCGCAGGAGGATTCGTGCTGAGCCATGGCATCCTTCAGACTCCTCATGGTCTCCAGGTCAGACTGGTCCATGAACTGCCACATTTTTAAAACTTTTCTTGACCTATTTGCAAGTAAATGACACATTTTTTTCAGACGGAAGGAGAAATAATATGGTTTACAGTACATAGCCTAAATTCTATATAGATTCATTCTTTTTATCTCTGTTTTGATATTTATTTAGGATCCATATCTCTATCTACTCCCCAAATGATGTCTAATATTACTTTTATAAATTGAAACACAAAATGAGACAGGACCGATACAAATGAAAACCCATGTGGAAGGCGTCAGTTTGGAAGGTGGGCACTGAACTTAGGTGGGAGCTTTCCTAGCAGTGATGCCCAGAGGGAAACCTCTGGGGAACAGTGTTTACATGAGTATTGATGGAGGGTTGCCTGCAGAAAATGTGTCATCCACTCCTCTTGATCCTTTCAATGTGACCCTTGGATTCGACAGTCCCTCACCGGTGCACGTGAGGCCTGCTTCAGCCTCTTTGCTTTTACTGACTCCAGCTTTGACATCAAGCCACTGGCCCATCCTGAGGGACATTACCTTGAAGTATTATTTGCATAAAAGGATGTTACATGGGACTTTCCTATTTTGAAATTGCTGCTAAGGAGAGGTTCCAGGTTGTCACTGAAACTGCTCTGCACCCCAGTGGTCTTGTACCCACCACCAGCCACGACTGCATCTGGTTGGCCGGGTAGGGAATACTATCAGTGTTACGGGGAAAGGGAACATCACCCGAAGTTTGGGGGCTTCAAGTGGACTCTTTGGAGAGGTGGACCTGTGTCCTGGGTAGTTTGTGGATCACACAGACTGGTGTGTGACTCTTGCCTGGGAAAGTCTGACAAGAGAAGCTGCCATGTGAGGGAGAAGGTTCCAGTGGGTGTGTCATGCATTTGCAAAGTCTGAGAGTGTTTCCTGTGAGTCCGGAGTGGACACTGTGCCAGGCAGTTGGCCCTGCACTATCTTAAAAGGTCCGCCTGCCAAATGAGGTGACTCTAGAGGAACGTCTGGGAGGGCAGGGCCTCCGGAGCTGGACCCTGGGGACTGAGGGTGCATTGCCTCTTGCCAGGCAATGGTGCCATGGGAGGTGGAGGATGTTAGGGGCATAACTAGTAAAAAACCCCAAATCACCCCATACAGCTCTCTCTATGGGAACACCGAGGCCAGATTACAGCTGTTCCGGTCCAGTAAGACTCCTCCTTCCTCTACCCTGCTTCCTTCTCTGCTCTCCTGTCCACCTTTCCTGCAGGATCCTGAGGTGGAGGGAGGGGGAGAAAAGATATACCATTCCTTTTCATCCTACTGCAGCTCCCTGAGACTGGTTGGGCTGCAAAATGTGGGAAAAGGGCAAAGCTTTAAATTAACTGAGAGGCTGCAATTTTTATTTATATCAAACTGATTGAAAATTCATTATGTAATATATAAAGTATTTGAAAGAATAAAGAAATATAATGTGACAAACACCCATGTACCAACCTCTTGGTTTAAAAAACAAAACATTAATAATACTGTTGAGTCCTGGCCAACATTGCTAAGTGGTTAGAGCGTCAGCCCGAAATCCGAAGGGTCACAGGTTCGATTCCAGTCAAGGGCACATATGTGGGTTGCAGGTTCCCCATCCCAGTCAGAGCAAGTATGGGAGGCAACCAATTGCTGTGGGTCTCTCACATCGATGTTTCTTTCTTCCTTCCTTCCTTCCTTCCTTCCTTCCTCTTTCTTTCTTTCTTCCTTTCTTTCTTTCTTTCTTTCTTTCTTTCTTTCTTTCTTTCTTTCTTTCTTTCTCTCTCTCTCTCTCTCTCTTTCTCATCTCCACCTTCCCCCTCCCACTCTCTCTAAAATCAATGCAAAAAATATCCTCCAGTGAGGATTAACAACAACAACAATACGGTTGAGGCCCCAGTGGATTCCTCCATTGAGGACATGCTCCCCCCTCTCCCCCACCAAAGGGGACCACAGCTGTGACTGCAGTGATCTCATTCCCTAACAGGTCTTTTACTTCCACAACATGTGTATATATCATTAAGCAGTTTGTAGAATTGTCTGTTTTGTAAACTGCATATAAATGGTGTCACACTGTACACTCTTAGACAACCTGCTTTTTTTTGCAGGGATTCATTCACACTCATGAGCATAGGTGAAGGAAACAGCTCATTAACCACACCAGTGGCTGGGAAAGTGACAGGCTCTCCCACGGTGTAATCCAAGCCAAGGGAGGGAGGGCCAGCTAGCAGGTTTGAAACACAGTGAGGTCAGGAAAATAAAAGTTTTTCCCATTTCACCCCATTAAGTCCAGCTAGTCCTACAACTGGTTTCTTATAGGCTGGTGAAAATCTATTTTTGGGCATGAAAAGGAGGTATAAATAAACGAAGTGAATAAATGAATGAGACATGGTTCTCATTACTTGATCATCCTTTCCGTAACAGAGTAGTCAAACATCAGCAAAGGTCAATTTTTTTTTTGTTAGATTGAGAATTGACACTATTTTAAAACTTTTATTTCTTTTTTTTTGATTATAAAGGTACTAGAGCAGTGGTTCTCAACCTTCTGGCCCTTTAAATACAGTTCCTCATGTTGTGACCCAACCATAAAGTTATTTTCGTTGCTACTTCATAACTGTAATGTTGCTACTGTTATGAATCGTAATGTAAATATTTGATATGCAGGATGGTCTTAGGCGACCCCTGTGAAAGGGTCGTTCGACCGCAAAGGGGTTGCGACCCACAGGTTGAGAACCGCTGTACTAGAGGATCATTGTAGAAAATCTGGAAAATACCAAAAATATAGGAAATCCACCCAAAGATCTACCATCCACATACAACATTAGGTATCTTTCCTTCTAATATTTATTCTATTTGTGTCTGCCTGGTATAAATCTACACTAATAAAAGAGAAACATGGTAATTGGCGTACGACCGCTACCCTTCCCATTGGCTAATCAGCATATCCTATGCAAATTAAACTGTCAGCCAAGATGGCGGCCGGCAGCCAGGCAGCTGGAAGCGAACATGAGGCTTGCTTCCT